GGGGGGGGGGGACAATTTAAGAACAATACTTCAGTTGCAATATAGTGAAATATTCTATGGAACATATCTCAAACAGAATTATAAGTACAAATGTAACATATTTCTTGCAGATCCCTATGGACAGAGCATCAGGATGATTATCAACCAGTGTCTTTCCACGGAATCTACAGAATTACAGTAACACTACCAGTGCAACAAATTGGCATGACCAGCTAACAGTTGATTTATGATGCAGTGTGCTATTCCTGATCTCACAGTTTGGATCTCTGAGACCAAACATCGCTTTACATTATCAAGGCTTAAAGAATCACCACAAATTTCAAGCACTGAATTTCATCAGAAAAGCACAAAAGATAGGGAAGATTGGCAATTATACCACTGCCTTCCTAGTTGGTCAGCTGCTGTGATAGATCATATAGTGAAGTTTACTTATCTACCTTACAAAAGATTCTAAAAACATTGTCTCAGATACATTTTCCACACCTTCTGAACAGATTCTGGTTCACACTGTAGTTGTCATCTGGCAACACAAGGCACATCAAGATGAATGAGTACTATTTTTGTGTGTGGATTGGTTCAGTAGACTATAGTTTTTAAATATCACTGAATAAAGATACTGCGGCTGGCTACTGAATCACATGGCTGTAGTGACTGCACAGCTGTTGTCTTGTCAGGCTGTAGCTTTAATAATTTTGTAATAGTTCTTGAGGCCCCTCTTGATACTTTTGTCCCTTGTTCAGTGTGTTTTAAGAGATTTACAAGGCAATTGTTCAAGCTGAGCTCCAATATCATCCAACTTTTCTTCTGTTAATATTCAATGCTGATGTTTTGGTTTCCTGTCTATTCACATACCAGTCATTCTTACCTTGTTGACAAGATTATTAACAGAGTTTCTGTTGGGAACTGAAACCATGGGAAATATTCTTCCAAATCTTCTACGACATTTCCTAGCAAGTTACACTTCACATAGTTTGAACATTCATCTCAGCAATATGTTATTCATCAAAGCTACATGCTGTGATATTAAGCAAGTCTAGTGAAGAAAAAGTATTATATTTAGAAAACCTTATAAACTTGTACTTCTACTTAAATCTGTATTTTCAGTATGTGCTGCACAAAGATTAGGTTTAATATTAACATTCACATATGAGTACCTGATGGATATATTGAAAAATACTTTCCAGTGAAGTAGTGTTTTTGTGAATGTAGATGTTATGAAATAAAAGGCAAACCTAAACTGTTAAGAAGACTAGTAAAAGAGAGATATTAAAATTGATTACACTTGATGACTCACAGGACAACATACAACTTTACAAAAATTATAAAGAAGGGAACTCCAATGAAAGTCTATAATTGAAACCAAAGATGGTTAAAGTATAACAAACTATAATATAAAGCATTATTACTGAACTTAAAAGTTTAGAAAATTATTTGTATCTTATAATGAAATGTTATAAATAACCCTGACATAAAAGTTATGTGTGTGTATACAATTAATCTTCTCAGTTATAATATATTAATTTCTTGTCTGTGTTAACTGGGGCCTTATTGATGTAAGTGGTGGAGTCTATTTTAAATTATGTAAGATTTGAGGTTTTCACAGCGGTGAGTATGAAGATTTGTCTTCTGGGTTGTTGCGCTGTGTAGTCTGACTACACAGCGCAACAACCCAGAAGACAGAAATCTTCATTATTTTAAATTATCTTACATTTCTCACCTACTTAAATTACAATAGTGATACCATCTAAAACAGAAGATTCTCAAGGCACTCAATATGAATTCAACTGTCCAAAAGATGCACTGTTCTTAAGATTCATCACACTCACCACAAATGCCTTTGTTATATTCTAATTCAGCCTGAATACAATAATTCTACACATGATCATTTTGGCAGAAAACTTACGTATTGCAGGGTCAGACATGATGACCATCACATAAGTATTGGAAGTGAACATATCAATGAAAGCAGCAAAATTACTGTTTCGAACTTCCATGCTCTGGAACTGAGCAGCCAATTTACTAGAAAAATAAAAACAATTATTTAAACATAGGATTTGAGTTTTTCATGGTGGCAAGTTTGAAGATGGCTGTCTGCTGGGTTGTTGCGCCGTGTAGTCTAGTAGAAGTTTACCGACATTTCAGAGGTCCTTGCTACCTCTATGATCAGGGTGCCCTGATGATGGAGGCAGCAAGGGCCTCTGAAACTTCGGTAAACTTCTACCAGACTACACAGCCCAACAACACAGAACACAGCCATCTTGAATTATTTGAAACTTAAAATTTAAAGAACAGACTGATTGTAAGTGTATGAAGAACATATTACTCTTCAGTATCACTATACACAAATTATTTATTGCATAAGTACATACCTGCAACTTAGTTTGAATTGTTTAATGATGTTAGACACCTTCTCAAACCTATGTACATCTCTGTGTGGACGTCGCTGACAATGGGAAATAACTAGAAATGTTGCTCGTTCAAATAACAATACTTCATCTGCATCAATGATGTTAGCAAACTGATTCAGGCTTTGCTCCAATTCCTTCACATTTGGAATAAGTTTATATACAATAGAAGACCAGGCCTGTCAACATTACATTGTCAATAAAATATAACGTTCTTGAAGATTAGAGATATGATCCTCTTGCATATGAGACAGATTGGAGGAACATAACTTTCAGGGGCAAAGTTGAAGCACAGCAAAATTTAAAGAAATTCAAAGACAAAGAAACAGAGGAAAACAGTTAATTATAAAAATGGAAAATATTAGTGTTAAGTAATGATATGAATCTGATTTGTCTTTTATACTAAAATGTTTTATGCTGCATTTCATCAATTAGGAACTGATTATTGTCATAGTAGAACTTGCTGCACAGCATATATCTGTTTTCCCATTTCAACTGTCATAATATGTCTGTTATTAAACAGAATAAGGAATGTATGAAAATTCAAAACTATATGCATACATTATTTGGTTTAATTTTATAATGAATTCTGTCATGGTGTAAATTTTATTACATCAGCCTAAGATTAATGTCATATTACTATAACATATTATCTACAAACATGTTTCCACATTTTACATTATGTACATAGTGTTCCATCATCAGGCTATAAATTACAATTTTTTGTTAACGCATTTATTTGTAGGTATCCATTTTTTTTACTATGTGATAATAGCCTGTTTTATTAATCACTTTGCTTGGGTGGTGGTACTAATTGTCAGCACATGTTAATCTATGGAAGTTATAAAATCTGTGCACTGATGTTTAGGTTTTAAACATAATTACATTTCCATAGCCAGCATTTTTACAACTGACTCTAGATATCAAGTCATCAGGAATGAATGGTTCAAAATCAGTATCAGGTAAGTTCCTAATTGTAGGATTAGTATCCTAATACTTAAATAATCAATCTTGTATGTTTTACAGATTTTGAGAGTACTTGGTTTTGCATTTGAATAGTAACTGGCTACTGATAACAAAAGATTTGCAATATTTGTTATGGTAGCTATTATATAAACACAATTTGTTTTCTGCAGTGAGCACTATATGCTTACCATTGAAAGTAGAAAATGTATTTTCCAATTCACCTCCAAGGTTGAAAGACTGATTTGTGATGCTGAATTTAGTAGTACTGAATAAGCATAATTCTTACCCTGTATAATGTTTCATCCCAGATTGAAGTTCGAAAACATGTACACTCTAATGGTTTTGACAATCTTTTCAGATCTTCCTCTCTCTCTCGAAATATCTAGAATAAGAATAAACAGAACACTAAGACTGTATTCCACGTCCTCCAAACTTAGCTTTCATTACTCATACCAGATATAGGTTGTCTTACCAAATCTCTCTGATCTTCTTGAACCAGATCCATTTTGTGAACCAAGCAGAAAATTTTTGCTTCAGGTGAATTCTGCAAAATGGCTTCCAAACAACTCTGGTAGTAATGCATATCTTTGTCAATTTCTCTACTTTCAACATCAAAAATATAGATGAGGACCTCTACGTTGCGGAAAATATTGTCCCGTTGACTGGCAAAATAATTTTCCATGAATGCTTCCTGACTGGTCGTAAGAACAGCAACAAAGGGATAGAAATTACAAAATGATTTGAAACAATGGAATGCCAAAATTTATCAGAATGAACATGTAAAGAATTATCATAATCGATAATTTGAGACTTCAATCCAGGTATCTTAGTACTAATGGAATTTGGATGCACTGTCAGGACAAACAATGGCCTAGGTAATCACAAGACCAATGCCTATCTAAAATCTGATCTGATGATTCTATGCACAGTTTGGGTCTTCTGACAAAATTCAAAACTTCAGAGAGAACTTTATATAATGTGAATTACCGTTTATCCCATAATAATTCAAAACATGACAGCCAAGATTTTACTTTCATACATCCCTGAACATAATTGGATAAAAAGAACATGAGAATGGAAATTAAGTATTTTAAGAAAGTGTTTTATTCTGCTTGGGACTTACATTTAATGCTCTTTACACTTACTTACCCACCACAGTCCCAAAGGTTTAGGACCAAGTTTCCTAAAAATCTGACATGAGAATGTTCCACATCAACTGTAAAAGTGAAAAAGAAATTAGACTTCATTAGTAAAATATTCTAGTAATATGCAGGGTTGGCATTCTTCCAGCAGCAGTAACATTCCACTGTCAGTTATTCATAAATAATGGAACAGTATATGACTGGTGATTTCACATGTACTATACTAGGAGTCATGATTCAATGATGCTTGCAATCAGTGCTCAGCTGTCTGCCTTTAAACAACAATGGCCAACAGTCATATATGCCAAATGTGGTGTAGTTGCATTGTTTTGCCAGTGAATATCTGATTATTCTTTATACACCTAGTCTACTGGAGTGTACTATGCTACAAGTTTCCAACTTGTGTCTGAAATTAAAATGACCTAACAACAGAGCTACATTTATTTGCTCAAGCTGAGGTATGAGCACATGCAGACAAGGCCTGGGATAATTAAATTGCTACTTTACAATAGAAAAGAGTTTATGTAGAGGTCATGTCAGTTCCCATCAAAAACACATGTACATGTCATGTTTGTATGTTGTTGGCTTCTTTTGTGTTCATTAATTGTGAATACTTTTCATTCATTTCTGTTCTGTATTTACAGAAAGCAGTGCATACCATCCATATCTAGACATTAATATCATTACCAGTTTCATTCATAATTGTGTGCAGATAGAGTGCTGAAGTTGGTAAAAATTAAGGTGAAGCCACAGGCTGTTGGGATAAGGGATGGGAGAGCCAGGTTCTCATCCTACAATCTTCTGGTACTTGCAGCATGTCATTGTCTTCAATTCATTAAAAATAACAGTGCAGATAAAACTGTACATTGAGTACCAAATATATATTTTTATTTTACAAGGTTTAAAACTGAAGAACCATAAATAATAAATATCATCAAAGAACTTACTTGTGGCTCCTAGACGACGGGTGTCCCTTGCAATATAATTAGCAAAGATTATTGA